GGGATGCGGGGCGGGAGCCGGGATGCGGGGCGGGAGCCGGGATGCGGGGTGGGAGCCGGGATGCGGGCCGCGCAGCTGAGGCGGGCGCACAATCCCCCTTTCAGCACGTCGCCATGGCAACCCGCCGGCTCGCCGCGGCCGCTCATCCGGCCCCGTTAACCCTCGCCGTTACCCGCCGCCGCCGCGCTCGGCCCCACCCGTTAACCCCCGCCGCGCCCCGCTGCGACGCCCCACGCCGGGACCGCGACCGCAACCGGGACCACCCCCCGCCCCGGGAGTCCCGCCGCCCCCGCGGGGGCCGCCCCCAGCCCCGCGCCGCGGGGCCGGTCCGGTCCGGTCCCGTCCGGCCGCGCTCCCCATCCCGTGCGGCGGCGGGCCGGGCCGTGCGGGGCCGTGCGGGGCGGGGCGGAGCGGGCGCACTCACCGTCGGGGGCGGCGGCGCGGCTGGGCCATGCCGGTGGCGGCGGCGGCTGCTCCGGGCCCGGCGCTCCGCTCAGTCCGGCCCGACCCCGCACCGGGAGCGCGCGGCGCGTGCACGGCGGGGGCGGGCTGGGGAGGGGCCGCACCGCAGCACCCCTTCGCTGCCGCTGCGCTGGCCCGCACCGCCGCCCGGCACCGGCACCGGGCATCCCACGGCCCCGCCGCTGCTCTGGCCGGGCCCGGTACCGCACGCCCCGGTACCGCACGCCCCGGCACCTGCACCGCCCTGGTCGCTGCGCCGAGGGGATGCCGCACCCGCCGAGCATCGCTCAGTCCGGTACCGCGCCCTCCGGGTACCGGCACCAGCCGCGTCTGCACCCTCGCTATCCCCGAACTCTGCCCTGCGCACGGCGCCGGCACTGCCCGGCTATCGGTATTCCCACCGTCCCGACCGGGACACCTGTGCGCCCTGGGGCACCCCGAACCACCCTAGAAAACTACCCTATCTGTGGGAGCATCCCGGCACGGCCCCGGACATCCCGCACCATCCCGGGCATCCAAAATCCTGCCCCATTGCAGCCTGTGTCTCTCTCAGTCACTCTGCATGGGTCCCCTCCACACCCCACAGCAGCTGGAGCGCCCTGCAGCCCCGGTGTATTTCCCCACGGCCAGGGGAGGAGCCCCTGCTTCTCCTACTGCTCTGCAGTGCCCAGCGGGTCCAGGGAGGATTCAGCAGGTACCTAGTGTGGGATGTCCCATCCCAGCCTCAGCCTTGGGGCCCGGTGCAGCCCTGCCACCTGTCCATTCCCTGCCGTGCACTGGGCTGCAGGGTGTCTTCCCCTCCCACTCACAGCCTCCCGGCAGGAGCCGCCTCTCCTAGAGCCTGCCTCTGCCCAGAGCAAAGCCACCTCTCTGTTTCAGTCTGGCCTGATGGGATTACAGAAATCATTTGAAACAGGGCAAGGATTTGGGTCCTGATGGATGTATCTGGTTTCTGCCTCCCTCTGCCATTGCCAAGGTAGCATCAGCTGCGGCGCCTCCACAGAGCAGACACTGCTTCCTGTTTGACAGGAGACGCTGCTTCCAGCTTGTGTGGCAGCATGCGAAGGGCCAGCAGTTGTTTTGACTCTCCCACACCCCACTGGCACCTGCACTGAGCCAGTGAACGTAAAATGGCAGGGAGATCTCAGCACCTCAGCGCAGGTTGGCCTTTATCTTCCCCAGAGCCTTCCAGCTGCTGCTTCAGAGCCGGTCAGAGCTTTCCTGCTTCTCCTGCCCAGCTCCCTCTCCAAGGGACTGCTTGCTGGTGGTCAGTAGCTTGACTGTGTTGCTGGCCCATTGTTCACAGAGTGAGCTGCAAGCTGCCACCCTGTACACCTTTTGGCAGGCAACATGGTCCAGCACCATGTGGGATGGATGCACAGCCCTGCTCTGTGCCCACCAGGTTCATTGGCTCAGAGAAGCATCTTGAAGGGGGCCCTGGACTGGTGCTGGGCTGCCCCTCAGCAGGCAGGGCTCCAGGCATGGCTCCCTGGGTCCTGCTGCCCAAAATAGGGTGATGGTGCACGTCTGCAGTGGTGCCTTGTGGCCCAGTCCCCACCACGAGCACTGTGGGAGGGTTGGGTACTCAGCTGCTCCACTGCCAGCTTCAGCTGCTTGAGTGAGCAGTGATCGATTTTCTTGCACAACACCAGCTCTGACAGTGCCTGACAAGACACCTCTGCCCAGGGCATGGTCCACGGGGACCGTCTGTACCAGGCTGCTGGGTGGGGTGGGTGCGTGGGGCACAGCATGCTCCAGGCCACCCATCACCCCAATGAGACAAGATTTGTGTAACCTCGGGTTTGTCCCCACATGCTGGGCACACTCCGTGTGGCAGCGCCTGCACACAGCACCTGAGGGCTCTGCCCAGGCAGCTTCTGGGGCTGGTCCCCAGCGTCAGGAAGGCCAGCATCAAACGCACACTCACACACGCACACCCCACCCCCTTCCTGGACGGGTGGCCAGAGCAGGGCAGCTGAGTGCATTACTCAATGGGCAGCGCGTATTAAAATGCCCCCGGTCGCCTCTGGCTCTGTCACAAGCAGCGTTTAGCCACGACTCGGAGAAGGAGCAGAAGGGCTGGAAGCTGTCAGACCTGCTTAAAACGGCCGCGGCTCAGTCCTAATGTGCAGCACAGCAGCGGCAGCTGCAAGGCACACAGCCAGGCCAGGCAGAGCTCAGCTCCCCAGACAGCCCTGTGCTGTGACCAGGGTTTGCCCTGGTCCCCACGTCCCCCCGCAGCCTCCTGCACCCACTTGAAACCTCTGGACAGCCATCCAGGGTCGTGTGGGATCTTGGGGGCAGTGGCAGCCTGGGTCTGTCACCACAACAGAGCTCCGGCGTCCTGCTTATCCCACACAGACCTGGACTGTCAAGCAGCAGACACAGCTGGGGGAAGCCTTTTGCCAGAGGAGGAGCAGGGCCAGCGCTGTCGCTGGGCCATGCAATAGAGAGTCCCGCGGCAGCAGGCACCTGGCCGCAGGGAGGGACACGTACATCCCCTTTTCCCAGGGAGGTAGTGTGGTTCCTGGGGTGCTTTCACCTGATCCCCGCGGCCCTGAGGAGCACCCAGCGGGAGATCAGCACTCGTGTTCTCCTGCTGCGGCACCCCAGTCTTGCCACAGCTGCCGTGCAAGCGGCACCCACTGCACCCCTGCCCGGAACCCCGCGGCTGTGCTGCCTTTGCCACCCCGCTCCGGCTGCTGCAGAGCCGCCCCCCTCCCACCTCCGGCGCGGCAGCGATGCAGAAGGAGCATCCAAGATGCCGCTTGGCGCAGGCTCAGCTGCCTCCCGGGGCCGGCAGAGGAGGGGGCTGTCGGCCATGACCGCACACACCACGAAAAGGGGCATGTTCTGGGCAGGGGCAGTGCCCAGGGTCCCCGGGCTGTGGCTCCGCTGGCGCCGGGGCCCTCCTGTCCCCACCCCCGGCAGGATGGGGGAACGCAGCCCTGCTCCATCCGCAGCCATGGGTCCCTCAGAGTAGGGTCCAGCTGACACTGCCAGGGCCCGGAGCAGGGCTGCCACCTCTGGGGTCACCGAGCACGGGCTGCAGGCAGGCAGAGCCCCTGGAGCAGATGGGGACCCCGCAGCCAGCTCAGGGCTGGGCCCCAGCCTGATCCTCATGGAAAGGTACAAGCAGGGATGCACACACATCTGTCCTCAGGAATGAGTGAGTCCTCTCCATCAGGCCTGGCCAGCAACACTTTCCAAGGCACCTGCAGCCACGTGGCAGGAGCCTGGCAGAGGTGCAGGCGCAACACAGTCTGGGGAGGAGCAGGGCACAGCAGGGTGTGGGGCCAGGCCACACAGCTACCCCCAGAGAACTGCCCCACACCTGCTCCCAGGGAGGAAAGGGCTCAGCTTGCCTTCATGCTGTGGCCTACCCTACAGAATTGTGTGCCCTCGGATGAAGATTCAGGGCAGCTCTTTGCTGAGTCCTTGTGAGCCTCACTCTATCCCACACAGATGGGACAGAAGGCAGATGCTGGTCAAGAAAAGCTACCACCGGAACCACAGAACAAACTGATGAGGAAGAACCGAAGATGGAAGAAAGGTGGTGGTGGCTTCCAGGCTCAACAGAGAGCAGAGAGCACTAGGACCAGACCCCATGCCAGCAGGCTGCACTAGCCAGGTCAGAAGTTGAGAATGCAGCATGTTACCCATGCAGAGAAAGCAGTGGGGCTGTCAAGAAGGAGTTAACAGAGGAGCCTTGGTGCTCATCAGCCAAACCTTGCTGTGATGGGGAACAAGAAGCAGCACTGTGAGTGCACTTGGTCTGCAGCTCCTCCTAGACTGCAGAGGTAATGAGCTGAGATCTCAGTAACTGCTGTGGTGGGGAAGCTGGGCTTCTTAGAGCTCAGAATTACCCTGCAACAGAACTTCCTCTTTGCTTTATACCTCTGTCCTGGTGGAACACACCACAGACTGCTAGTAAAGCTCTTAATCAACATATAAATCCTACAAAGCTTGCACAAACCCTTGCAAGCATGTGAACAGCAGCTTATGAAACAGGGAAGAAGGGCTTTCCTTCCCAAACCAAATTGTTCAGCCTTCACAAACGCTGAAAATGCAGACATAAGTTCTATTGAGAAAGAGATAAAGAGCATGTGTGGAGGTGCTGCTGGGCTGTACTGGGAGGAGTGCTGAGGAGGAAAGGCAGGCTCTGAATACACACTCAGTTTGCAAAGTAAGCTCTCTGTATTCATCCGAGAATGTCTGCAGTATGGAGTTCATCTGGTATAAATAAAGTACAAAATTTTACAATGTCTTAATCATTATTTTAACAAAAATACTAAAAACTGAGTAAAAACTGAAACCAAAGTGGGAAGGGAGACTATCGGCCACAAGGGATCTCCATAAACATTTGTAGAAATCGGATAGTAAAAACACTTTCTCTGTACAATAAAACCCTCCTCCTGGCATCTCCCTGTGAGAACA